CGATCTTGTTGTCGCGAATCTCCCGTTGGTTTGCTCTCGTTGTACTTCCTTGGGGGTTTCAGGAAGCTCTCATGTTTAAATTCAGCTTCATACTTCTCGAGCCAAATTTGCTTGGATTCCCATTTCTTTAAGGATTTGGATTCTTCATGTGTAACATCTTCGTGCCATAGATTCTTCAATTCTGTAAGGGTATGACCAGTAAAACGGTCTTCAAGGAATTTTTTCATTTCTTCTTCCGTCTGCTTGCATTTTGATTTATGTCGTTCGGTTCGGACGTTCAGGAGAGCGATCTCGTTTCGGAAATTTTCGACGGCAGAATTTTGTCGTATTCTTGTTTCGTTGATATCCTCGTTCGCAATAGATTTGATAAGAAATTTTCTGGGCAATATTTTCTTTTCTTCGTTGATCCACGTTTCGTATATTAGTGCTGTATTTTCACTGTTCAAGCTGCGCCAGTACAGTTGCTTTCGTTTATTCAAATGATTATTCCAAATTCTAGATATCTTTTGGCGTTGATTTTCAAGCATAGTAGTTGAATATTGCAGCTGTTTGTGAGTGAAAAGTTTTCGCAAGGAGATATTTACCATGTCTCCTTTTAAACTGCTTAAATCGTACTCCCATAATGCTTTCCGCGCTTAGAGTTTAAGGTTTAAGGTTTTAGAGTTTAAGGTTTTCAAAGGACAACCTTTATTGAATTAGCTGTATATATATATATATATATATATATATATATATATATATATATATATATATATATATATATATATATATATATATATATATATATATATATATATATATATATATATATAGTGAAATGTTGCTGATAACAAGATACAAGTGTTGTATATAGAAAAGGTTTCAATGTGCAACCAAAAGAGACATTTATAACGTAAAATAAAATAAAAGCCACTCAAATTTTGCACAAACGTTTTCGCTTTAATGTTAGCTCCTCAGATGCATATTTACAATGAGTGGAATTTAGTTTATCTATTATCTACGTTCTATGATATCATATTATAATAACTATGTTAGGAATGCAAATATATATATATATATATATATATATATATATATATATATATATATATATATATATATATATATATATATATATATATATATATATATATATATATATATATAGAAAAGGTTTCAATGTCTATACTCTTCGTCATCTAAAAGTAAGCGAACACTTAAATATGTGTAACAACGGAATTTTCAAAATAATGCCTATATATCAATGCATTAACACGGACAGACTTTTTAGGGAGATGAAAGAGAAAGAACTTATCAATATACTGAATCCGGATCTGAACGCTAATTAAAAAACCATAAAGTTTATGCTTACATTTAGATCAATAGAATGTTTTTAACGGGTGACTTCACACCATGTAAATATATGCATTCCTAACATAGTTATTATAATATGATATCATAGAGCGTAGATAATAGATAAACTAAATTCCACTCATTGTAAATATGCACCTGAGGAGCTAACATTAAAGCGAAAACGTTTGTGCAAAATTTGAGTGGCTTTTATTTTATTTTACGTTATAAATGTCTCTTTTGGTTGCACATTGAAACCTTTTATATATATATATATATATATATATATATATATATATATATATATATATATTGTTCTTTTGTTGTTACATATATCACTTAAAAATTAGGAACAAAAAACGCAAGAGAATTATTTCCTTATTTCATACTGTCAAATACATTTAGCAGTTTTAAACCCAGCTTTAATGTGCATCTCAGTTCAATGCACGGTGGTTGTATATTGTACCTGTATAATTATTTTCCGTATTGGTTGTTGCGATGTAGCTACAGTACGTCATGTCGGCACCAGATTGCGTTTTTTGCTTAATTTACAGCGCAAGATTGCTTGTTTATAACTTACAGTTGATTTTTATAGATTCGCCAATTAGAAGGAGCATTACTCGTTTTTCCTATTATTATGCTAGTGTTAAAACACTTATTCCACTTTGTTTCTTAATTATGCTGTGGAAAATATAACGATATATTTCAGTTGTTATCACAAAACAATTTTCTTTCTCTGAAATCAGCTATTTTTCTCCTATTTGCTTATAAGTTCGAACACACTATTGCTGAACATCCTACTGTACAGTATACAGCACATGTAACTCAAATTTAAAATATATAATCAATATATTTGTCTCGATATACTTTATTTTTCTGCTTTTGTACTTGCTTCAAATGTTTAAAGGCACCGCCGAGTAATTGCTATTTTTGTGAATGAGCATGGCGTGTTATAGGGACCATCGTGATTTCGACTTTCGGTGAGTAGAGCTGTCCAAGTCGTTCGTCTTTTACGTGGAAATGAGTTGCCTATAAACCGAAAAAAGTGTTCAAAAAACGAAAACACTTACATGCGAGAGAACCAAATTCATAGGGCCCAAATTATGCCAAAAAATATGTTATCGCAGTCTTGTAAAAGCTTAATTACAGTACGCCATTAGCGATAGAAATAACTAAATATTTCTTTTTTGGTCGAGTAAATGTTGAATGCATATACATATATATGTAACGCGTCGAATTAAAGTCTATATCGATTTCATTTATATATGACAACAGCAAGTATGAAATTTTTCTCTGCACTAATTTAATTTATTCAATTAGTGTGAATAATGTATGGAACATGTTACGCCACCAATATGCGGATCGAGATGCCAGCAATATGCAATGCGTTGGCCGTTGGCGCTATACATGCACATGTCTAAAGTGAAAAAGATACAACATAGTTTATTGCGCTGTATTTAATTATGAAAATCTTTTGAAATCCGTTACAAAGTCATCAAAATTACACAAGAAATAGAAATTAAAAAGTGACGAGTAATAAGACATAAAGGTGCGTCAAATTAGAAAATGATCATTATTTGCTCTTCGTCAACCAAGTTTACAAATGAGGAATCTCCATCTTCTATCCCTAAGAAAACAAGAAAGGTGGTTAGGGGCATGACGTCATAATAAAAAAAATTCCGGTTCTAATCGACCAGCGATTCTACCGATTTTTTATCTGTAAGAGTTGATGCAACAGTAAGTTCGAAACTCAAATCTTGCAATCAGCAGACCAGATTACTTAAATACAGGGACCCCTATTAAGATACTCATTACTCGTTCAATTTTCATAAGTACCAAACCATTTTGCGTTTGTCACCTCAACAAACTTCGGTTAATACATTTTAACTGACGCCAAACACATGAAAAAACTAGAATAAATATTTGTTGGTCTTACTCTTTTCCATTGTCATGATAACTTTTTACTCCACTTAGGAAATGGCTATAGGGCACAGCGTAGTTCATATAACCATCCCAGCTATTCACATAACCAGTCCAGACACAATCACGTGCGCAATTATTCTTGGTGCCACAACATTCAAATTGGAATCTTCTGTCTTCATGAGGATTACTGTGATAGGAGTGCACACCTAATGTTTTAGGAATAATGAATTTGTTACTTTAGAAAGAACTTAAATATGATGTATAATACAAATGTGCGTGATTGTTCCCGACTATTCTGCTATTCTTGGACTTCATACGACGTCACAGAAGTGACGGGGGGTCAACTCTAAAACAGTTATCAGAGTGAGAATTGTTCGTTTTATCTATTAGCCTGATGTTTGGTTGCAAACTCATGGAATTTCGTATCATTTTCTCACTCCAATACAGCATAAACGTAAATACATTTGGAGGTTGACCCCCCTGTCAGATTCACTGCATAATGCCGTAGAGAAACCCAAGAATTACAGCTGATACCGTTACTGTTCCTATTTCTGTTATCCTTTGTGTTCCTTTTATTTTTGATGTCATTATTACTGATACTAGTACCATAAGTTATCATTGCCTGTACAATTGCGGAACGTGTTTAAATATTAAGGAATTTTCTGAAAAATTGAGGTCGGAAACGTAATTTGAAGCTCCCATTGGCTGAAACTAGTGTTTGGAAATTTTTTGTGGGACGTTCTCTTTTCGGAAAATAAGCGTGTCACTGTTACTGTTACTGTCACTGTTACTGTTACTGTCACTGTTACTGTTACTGTTACTGTCACTGTTACTGTTACTGTCACTGTTACTGTTACTGTTACTGTTACTGTTACTGTTACTGTTACTGTCACTGTTACTTTAATTTCACTTTTACTGTTCTTACATGTGACTGTTACAGTTGCTCTTATTGTTATTGTTGCTTTTATTTACTGGTACGTTTGCTGCTACAATGCCTATTGCTATTGCTCTTGCCGTTACGGTTACTTTGCCGTTACTATTGCTGTTAGCGATGATTTTGTTACTATTACTATTAATGTGGTCGCTGCTGGTGGTTAATTTCAGGTATAGTTGCTGCCACTTTTGCAGTTGCTCTTTTTATTTATCACTTATTTACTGAGACCGAGGGAAACAGTGTGTTTTAATTGTGGACCCGAGACCGTCGATGTTTCCCGAGGCGAAGCCGAGGAAAATATCGACGGTCGAGGGTCCACAAAACACACCGCTTTCCCGAGGTCTCAGTAAATAAGTGTTTTATTATATATCAATAGTCAAAGAAACAACAAATTAAAGAACAAATGAACGTAGATACATGAAATATTTTATTGTTAAAACGTCAAATTAAACACTGCAGTTACTTAAAGCGAATGTTTAAATTACTAGGCATGTCCAAAGGTCGCATCTTCACGTGACGGCGCACGTGATTTTTTTTCGTTATTCGCCGGTCGATAACGTATTGTTTCCCTCTCGCGCTGTTGCGAGGGAGACAGTCTAATTTCGTCACTCTCACGTGATATGCTCTCGACCAATAAAACACTAGTAAAATGCGACTTTGACTATTGGTATATAATAACATTAAATATACACCCTCCATATTATCATTATGGCATCTGTCAGCATTTTGCCTTAAATTCAGCCGTTTTAAATCGCTCAAAAATTTGCTAACAATAACCATAATAAAAAGATTATCAGAGATTATAGTAACCTGCAATAACTCCATTTCGACATTGGTATAATATTTCATGGTCAAACGAATTCACCCATTCAGACCATCGGCACGAGTGTGTGATTTTAGGGTCACGTTTGCATAGAAAGGTCCAGGAACGATCTTCATGATAGTTGCTGTGAACACTACTCACATGCCAGATAGAGTGACCTAAATGAGTGATTAGGGAAAGTACATTTATTATGCCGGGGGGGGGGATGAAGATGTTAAGGAGGGGCCACTAAAATATTTTCTGGCATTAAAGGGTGGCTCTGAAAGTTCTCGAAATATGCTGGGGGGGGGACTCTAAACTTTTCAAAGTTTTGGTCCAGCAGGGCCTGGAGTGTGGAATAGATGGTTTGGAAACTCCCCCTACTGTGAAATTCAGACAAAAATCATGTAAAATTCAAGTTAAAATTTTGACATTTTCGGGTAAAATTGGCCTCGGCTTCTCAGCAGAGGTTAGCAGTAAGAAAGTAGGTCCTAGACCTGTTTCAAATGTCGCAATATGCATGTGTGGAATGCAATGGCTTGAATTTGGGCAAACAAAATTATACCTCTGAAACAATTAAATTCGACGCTTCCAATTACAGTCGATCGTAACTTTAAATTTGACCATTGGGCTGGTCGCATAACGCGACCAAAATGCAACGTGGTTTCAGACGAGTATATTCTTTCGCCTACTCCGCGGGTCCTAAAGTCGCTTTAAGCAGCCGCTGAATTAGGGCGACTTTTGGCGACATAAAAAAATTAATTAAGGACAAATTAGTTACGATTCAAGGCGACGTTGGAGATTTGAGGCGAATTAGTATGAATTGATACAAGCATAATATGAGGGGATTTCACTATAAAGTATACCGTTTTGTCACATTTTGAATTCTCAGTACCCGAACATCCTGCTGATCCTTGGCACTGATAATACCCCCAATTTCATTATTTTACTCTGCACATTGTTACACGATATTACTTGTCAAGGGGAGAGTGCTGGTTTAATTAAATACAAACCTTTAGAAAAGTGTGACTTCAAAATAGGTTATTCAGGTTTGGGAAATCATACTAATGTGTCCTGGCTTTGAAGAGGAAGCCTTTGGTGTGTGAGCTAGCAGAATGTTTTTAATTATGGGACTTTGTTACACGACTTCTTCCACTTTAAATATTTTTTTAAATGAATAGTTTTATAGTGCTATATAGTAAAACTACAGATAACACAAACACTACATGGATGTGGTTGGGTGAAATGCCATCTTTAATGTAATGAAAATTAACATTACTGATTATAATAATACCCAATCTTTTATAGTAATAACACTTAATTGTGTAATAATAATACCTAATATTTAAATTGTCATATTAAAAATTGTTATACAGTGTATTAAGATTATTTTCGTCCTGACAAAAATCAAAAGAGGGGGAGGGAGTGCCGGAGTGGGTTGGATCAACTTTCAACATTTGAATTACGACTAATTACGGTATCGCCAAGATCTGAAATCCAATTTAGTCTACATTGCAAGTCCATTTAAGTCTCCCAAATATAATTTTTTCCATAGCCTGTCGAGTGAAGGGTTACGAATAATATTTTTGGCTTTCAAAATAAGACTGAAAATTGAGTTCATTTGAACTCAAGTTTGTTTGAATCGTCCGACGAAATTGAGTGTTAATGCTTTAATCACTTAAATACGCGGTGGTGAAATATATTTCCTCGATAAATTTCGATTGCTTGCAGGTATTTGTGGCCCTGACTTTATAACCATATCATGCGTGCTCTTGAGAATGCGCAAACAGCTAGAGACGTATACTGTATAGGAATATTGAGGCTGGGAAGTTAGAACAAGGTGTACATTGGGGGTTGGGGATGGGTATAGTTTTGGAATATATATGTATGTTGTAATATTGTTCAATACAAGAGTTTATGAATTCAAACGTGATATAATTTGTTGGCCTAACAATATGTGACCAACGGGTCACTTCAGCTATGATTCTGATAAGTTCAGGTCCGTAATAATTTTCTCACAATGATCTTAGATAATGGATATTACACAATTTGCAGAAATCCTGCAGTCTCTCTTGATTAAATGTGGCGTACCGCAAGGCTCTATTTTAGGGCCACTATTCTTTTTATTATATATTAATGATTTGCCTGAATTTCTAAACAAAACAAAACAAAACCTCGGTTGTTTGCTGACGACACAAATCTGACAGCCTCAGGAGATTCAATTACTGACGTTGTGACTGTAGTAAATTCTGACTTAGAAAACCTCAGAAAATGGCTAACCGCAAATAAACTTAGCCTCAATGTAGCTATGACTGAGTTTATGTTAATAGGTTCAAAACCAATGATAAAAAATATTTTGATTTTCATGCCAATGTTTTAATTGAAGATACACTAATCAAGCAAGTTTATGATTGCAAAACTCTTGGAGTAACTGTTGATCAGGATTTATCTTGGAAAAGTAATACTGAAAATATTTGCAAAAAAATAACAGCAGAAATCTCCGCTATTCGTCGAGTCAAACCTTTTGTTGACAAAGATACTCTTGTTTCACGGCGATATATAATGCTATTGTTCGCCCATACTTTGATTACTGCATGCTGTGAAGTATGGGACGTGTTTGGTGAAATGCAATCAAAACGACTCCAAAAACTACAAATAGAGCTGCCAGAGTTATTATGGATATGAACAATGACGTAAATCATTCTATTTCTTTACGTGCACTAGGCTGGGAACCACTCAAAACAGAAAGGAAGAAAGCTAAGGCAAAAATGTTGCATAACTGTTAAATAAAATGGGTCCAACTCACTTACTAACCTTTTTTCATACAAAAGTGAGAAAACAAATTACAACCTTCGGGAGATTTCAAGCGCTCTAATTTTACCAAATCCGCGTACTAACAATATGAAAAATAGTTTCGTGTATGACGGAGCATACTTTGGAATTCTATTCCAAAGGAAATTAGGGAAAGCAAAACTCTTTCTTCCTTTAGAAATAAAATCGCTGCTCACATCATTGACATAGAGTAATAAATAAATTGATGTGCGTAAATATTCTAATAACGTTCGTATCATGTAAATAATTCAGTATTTTGCCAATTTTTTTGTAAATAGCTCTTAGTATCTTCTTTATGGAATTTTGTCTATTTTTGCACACGCACCTCGTGGAAATCAGCTTCGGTTGACGGGGTTAGCGTGTATAAATAAAGTTTATCTATCTATCTATCTATCTATCTATTCTGGGTTATCTGCTGTATGCAGAATAATATTTTTGGCCCACTTTTTTCGACTTTGTCTTGCAAGCAATTAAGCTTGGTCCAAGACGGCGACCATCAGTTAATGCCAAGCAATTACCGTCATTTCTACCGAAAGGAATTCGACGTTGGGAATTCGACGGAGGTACCACTTCGAAATTACTTCGATAATTCGGTACTGAACCGTATTTTGGACTGAATATAAAGAGACCAACAATAACACAAGACGTCGAAAAGGCAAAATCGAAGATTTTGATCGAAGAACCGACTTAATTGATGTTTCAGGTGCTTTTAATATGCTAGTACGTTTACACCCGTTTTCAAAATTACGCGACCTCCCAGAAAAATACTCTTACTTCAAATGTCAGTTTTATGTCACAAAAACTGCTAAAAATAGCAAACGTAAACAAACTTTCAAAAGACATTTTAAACCGTATTTAACACCAAAACTGAACAAAAATGAGTTAGATAACTTAGATATACAAACTAAAGCACAATAAAACCATCATAACAGAAATATGTGCCGTGAATAACTTTTAAAGTTTGAAAAATAACAATTTATCCCGGAATCTAGCTGTCAGTATAAAACACGCGCGCTAGACTATAA